GGTACGAAATTGCATACCTTGATTGATACACCATTTGCCAATGGTGCATCAATGTGGTGATGGTCATAGTTTGTTCATTGTGAACCACACGTATCCGAGGTGACTCTCGAGGTAATTATGATTGTGGCATGTATTGTTGCGGAGCATGGAGCATATCCGAAATTCTACTTTCGCCATTAATTTCTTGCTCCGCATCATAAGATCGATCACCATAATTCTACTTGGAGAAGAATGACTAATTATCACTGTATTACTACTTGGAGAAGAATGACTAACTATCACGTTGAGCTTCCTGATTTGAATCTTGGGTGGCATATGTAAAATATTTTTTCTCGGCCTATACACCACCCTCAAACTATGTAGATGGGACCATCGACTCTTCGATGTCGTTGCCATTGTCAATCGAGGCATTGTCGTCCACGTCGTTGCCATGTCCTTGGATCGGATGGGTTGTTGAATGTAATTAAGAAGTTGTTTACAAACCTTTGATCAGAGAGTTCTTCCTCTTAGGTGTTAATCTTCTCTAATTAGCCTCCCAAGCTTGATTTGATCTACAAATTGTAGCATTGTGAAGTCTTAAGAGCATGCAAATGTGAGAATGAGAGGAAGTGAGTGAGAAAGAGATTGAGAGAGTATAAGAGTTTGAGAGAGTAAAAGAGAGTGAAAGAGAGGGAGGAAAGGGTTTGAAAACCCTTTCAAATGGAACTGGCCGTTAGAAAGGGTCTGATTTGAGCCATCCATCGGTGATGGTCGAAATCTGACTATTACTGATCAGTACAAGTTGATAACAGTCGGATTTCGACTGTTACTAAGCGGTACAAGCCCGTATCAGACGATACAAAGACTTTTAGTACATACCACCTCATTCAGGATGGTTCGAGTACCGGTCTCTTATCGAATTGGTACACACCGCTCATACCGGTCAGTATACCATGGTATGGCAAATCCTAGATTCAGTTAATAAAATTTGTTATTGAAATGATGTTTCATGCATGGCACAATTTTCTTATTACAAAGTTAGTGCATATTGGGGGGTGACATTAGATATCTTTCTATTTATCAGCACTCTGCTTACATCCCTACAGAAAAGGTTTGCACAGTGTGCACCGCACTTCTTGACAAAGATAATAGGCCTTCCTACTTGTGTGCTCTAAGTGAAGATGAAGTTTCTGGAATACACTCCGCTGGACAGGTGCTTCCCAAAATTTTGATGGAGATTCTCAGGGTTTCAAGCAACTAAATATATATGATAAAATATCTATGATTATCATGTTATCTTACCAAGCTTTGATGCTTATTATGTCTTGTGCAGCATAAATCTTTTCCTTGATCATCTAAACCTTGGAGAGAGTATCATCAAAGGCAACCTTGAAGCCTTTTCGTGTAAGTTTATATGCAATTTAGTTACTTGACCATTGGTATTGATTGATGCAAAAAATTATGCCTTTCCTTGTGTTATTCAGGTAAGCAAACTGGGACAGACAGAAAGCTCTCTTTTAGCTTAGAGCAAGAGGTACTAGAATATTCAAGATGCTAAAACTTGCAAGAAATTGATAATTCTTTTTAGTTGTCTTGAATATCATAAATCCATGTATGATATCCTACTGAAATAATAAAGAACATGAATATCTTATTTTGCTAATGAGAACTTTTCATAATTCGTATTTTTATTCACATGATAAATACACCTGATGACAAGATGTAGTTGGTGTTGCCAACCAGTATAAACAGGATTTTTTGACATGTTTCTGTTTCTTGAATTCAATTTGCCAATTTGTGATGCTTCTGTGGTGGTAATCTCATTACTTGCTGGTTCTTTGTTCGTTGAGTGCCTTTTCTTGCTACTCAACCATTCTCAATTGAATAAGTCCAACTTAAAGGAGCCACAAGACGTGTTCAAGTAATTAGCTAAGATTATGTTTCTTCACTGATGTTTGGACTATCCATTTGAACTAGATTCATTACTTATGTAGTTTGGTTCAGGTTCCAGTGGGTCATGCTGGTAACTTGTATTATTTACTCCTTTGGAAGTTATTATCTTTTCTTGCTTGGACCTGTCTTCCTTTTGTATGATCTGTCTATGATTTTTCTCTTCCAGAAGCTTGTATAACTGTTGTTTAATTTCTGGTAGTCTGCTTGTTTAATGATGAGCTAGCCTCTTTAAATACATTCTGTAAGCACAGAAACACTTGGCTAACAGTATGGTTGTGATGCATCATTAAGTTCTATTTTTCATAGAGTTGCCAATTACAGTGGGCTGGGCCCTTTGATTTTGTGTTGACCAGAAGTATGTAACCTTAACCAAACTTTTCAGATCAAGTTACTTATGTTATATACTTGGGGATAAGGTATTGGGTGCTTTTCATTATCCATCAAACACCAAGGATGAAAAACCTCAGCTTCATATTATCTATACCAAGGTTCGCAATACTGTACCGTACCGGTATTTCGACCTGGGCTCGGTACCGGTACGGTACGGTATATTGAGCGGTATATTTGGGTGTATCGAGTACTGTAGCACCGGTACAGTGCTACACTAAACTGCTACAGTGCTAGAGTACCTCGGAACGGTAACAGTCGGTCCGCGTACCGAAAACCTGTCGGACCGATACGTACCGCCCGTACCGGGCGGTACGGCTCGGTATGGCAGACCCTGATCTATACCATTAATCATAATGATGAAGGGATAGAATATCACCTAGTTAGATAGAAATATTCTATATAAATCCATTTATTCAGGTTATGCTGGTTATGTCTGCTTTGGTTTGGTCTTGGAGTCAACCCTAACCTTAATGTCTGAGCCAGGTTGAGAAATCGAAACCCTGACCTGCCCAAAATGCAAAATGCATTTAGACCAACTCAACCTGATTCATTGATTGGGTTTGGACCTAGTCAAAGTTGGACCCAATCCGTAGCCTTTTTTTTTTCGCTTCTATGTAAGTTAATCAAACATATGTGGTACATTAACAGTGCTAAAATCTAAGTATATGGAGAGGATCAAGTGAGCGTATATTTATAATTGATCTGTCAGGTCTGAGAGGCAAAACCGAAACTTACCTATTCAGTATTGGGCCTGATGCAATTCCCCCCACCTGAAACCCAATTTGAATGGAGTAACTGGCTGAAGATTATTTCCCAGTTTCAGACTATTTTGAAAAAAAATATATGTGAAAATTTCAGTTGCAGCCAATCCATTATTGAAGTTATAGAAACAATCAGCTGGTACTTGCCTCCCTGGACTGGATTGTTTGATCCAATTAGCAGGGCCTGAAAACTGAAACTAAATTTGACTTGGACTTGGACCAACATTGACATCCAAGTGATGAACTGAATCAGGTGAACCCAAGGGTTCAAAACATCACACGATAAATAAAGTTGACTCATTTAAACCCTAATACAACAAACAACCTGATTCACGAAGTACATAAACAATTGCTCTTTCTTGTGGTCTGGGACAGGTCATAAAATAATAGAAACTGTTGCTTTTGTTTTAGACATAATTAACCGACTAGGAAACTTGTGTTGCACTTGTGTCATTTCTTATTTGTTGCATTTCTGATTTGTTCTTTGTTAGATGGGCTGTTGAAAGCTGTCACAATTATTGCATTTAAGTTCTGAAGAAGTTATTAGAGTCCAGAATACTGTCCCATTCTATGATATATTTTCCTCTTTTTTGATGATGGGAGTCATGGACATGTTTTCTGATCTTCAAAACATAAAAAGTATTCAGCTCTTGCTAAGATTGTGATTGCCAAATGTTTTACAGTTATTTTGCAGCTGACTCATTCATTAGATTAACATATTTACTGGTTGATGCTTCTCTGTTCATGTAAATTATTTAGTTAACTTGGTTTTTTTAGTACAGATTCTTGATTATCTTGAACAATCTTTTGATAGCGATTCACATTTGCCAGTGGAGTACTTGATTAGTAGATCAAGGTAGTGAGGCACTTTGCAAATTTTACAAAGTTAGAAAATGAATGTATGGCAATCTGATTTTCTTCTCTTTACTGGATAATGCAGTCGGAAGACACTAATATATTTGGTTCTTACGCTCAGTCACATGTATCCAGATTATGATTTCAGGTAACTGTGCTTCTATAACAGACCAATAGTTGTACTCGCAAGAGGAAGAGAGGGTCCTGGGTAATGTCAATGTCAGCTTGTCCCATGAGGAAGCGGCATGACAACCCGCTTATAGTACCCTTTCTATCCAGAATTGGGAGTGTTGTCAATTGGTTTGACAGACGGTTAAAACCGTTGCTCAGCGAGCTGAGAGTTCAAGTCTCTCCATTTCCCTAGAACTTTGATTACCATTTTCAATATTTGCTCTTTTGGAGTTTGCTGTTCCCACCTTCCCCTGTTGCTTAATTGTGGTCACAGTGCAGTTTCATAATTATTTAACATTCTATTATGAATATATGTCAACTTAGCAGTGCAGTGCGATCCCACCTGTATTTCAGAGAGGAAGAATGGGATAATTTCAAGCAAATATATGACATGTACTTGTTCGAAGCAGCTAGAGTATGTTCCTGCCCTTGCATATCTTTTATCAATTGGAGGTGACAATCATGGTTTTCTTTTTGTTGATGTCTTCATAGTATCTCCTCTCTCTGGTTATGCACATGTGTATTTTTTACATGTTAAAATAACTTGGTAATTTTGCATCATGTCTACTCATAATGACAAGGGTTAGGGAAATCATGAGCAACATAAATAAATTCTAGGTTTTTTCCCCTTAGCCAGTAACTATTTACTCGAATGACTTCAGATGGTGGCAATTACTTCCAGAAGCACTAGGTTTATATTGTTTGAAACATCCAGTAATATAAGTTCAACTTGTTCGGAATGTTATTTTTTACTATATTGTTTGACTGAAATTGTTGAATTTGTACTGTTGTTAGATAATCATGTAATACAGCTGTTGTATGCTTTTCTTCTGTTGCCTATTATAATTCTGGTGGTGGATGGGGCAGCATGATTTCTTTATTTCCTTGTTTCTTGTAAGATTTTCCTGAAAAAGGAATTTAACATGTCTGCTGTACTTGTACATAAATTTGGAAAGATAAAAAACATTTTTAATTCAGAAAAGAGTTTTTAGTCTTCATCTTCATTTTGATCCTTTTTTTTCTATTTTTTATCTCTGTAAATCTTAGTAGTCATTTATCTATTCAAATTTAAAGATTCTCTACTTTCTTTTTGTTGTTCATAATTTGTCAAATGGTAGTGGTGGCAGAATGTTAGTATTTTGGTGAGGTTAATGGAGTTGCAGGTGGCGATAGTAATGATCGCAGTAGTGGTGTTACTATGTTGTTGTTAGTGGTGGTTGAAAAGGTGGTATAGTAATGGTAGCATGGTGGCACTGGCGATGATTATAACAATGATGGTGATGGTTGGGGTAGTGGAAGCAATGTTTGAGCAATATAATGTTGTTATGGGTGGTGGCAGTGGCTGCAATGTCATCGTGAAGGCAGTGAAACAGTGATAGTAGCAAATTGGCGGGGCTTGTCAACAATGGTTGTAACAATAATAATAATGCTAGTTATGCTATACTTGTGGTGGCAGCGACAGTGGTGTGAGTGGAGGAGAGGTGGTGGCGGCAACTGCAATGCTGGCAACTACATCAGTGTTTGTGATGCTAACAATTTGATATCGTAGTAGAGGTTGGGTGGCAATGGTGCTGGTGAAGGCAGTAACTATAGTGGCGATGACAAAGATATAATAGTACTGTTCTGTTAAGGGAGACTGGTAAACGTGTGGTGCTATGGTGGTGATGGAAATAATAGTGAAGTTGATTGCCATGATGATTACAAAAGCTGGTTTAATCTAGTATACAAATTTTCAAGATAAAAATTGGAAAAAACAGATTTCTAAGAGGAAAAATCCACTTAGTTTGTGAGCTCTTATATTTATAGTTTTCTGTTTTCTTAAAAATAGTCTGAGACTTTTTTTTTTGTGTAAACATGCTCAGCAGTCTGTCGCGCACTTTTGGCGTGATTGTTATTTGTTTAAAATCTAAATTCGATTGTATTTCCATAGTTCATGTGCATGCTCTTTTATGTCTATATGAAATATTTGGGTTTCAGGAGTGGGCTACTGCAAACGGGGGTAGTTCCTTTATAGACATCTTGACAAATGCCATTGATGAGGTGGAAATTTCACTCATTTGAGTTTGATATTGATGACTGTGACCACGGTTAATGTTGTTATCTCTCTCTCTCTCT